ACAACCACTCACTCTGTGCCTCTCTGCGCGGGCACGAGAATGATGGGACGCCGGCAGCGCTCGAACACGCAGTGCACGAGCTGTCTCTTATACACATCTAGATGTGTATAAGAGACAGACTTGGTACACCCCTGAACTGTTGACATACAGACCTGAGTTTTTCTCTTTTTTTTTTTGGGCGGGGTGGGGAGGTTTTGACTACGGGCTGGTAACCCGTTTCGCCTGGGGCAATGCCCCTGTCTCTTATACACATCTAGATGTGTATAAGAGACAGGTGCACGAGTGAGGCATGTTCGAACGGTGCTCGCCCTTATAACCAGCCTCACGGGGAAATGCGGGCTGTTACTTTTTTTTTTTTTTTTTTTTTTTTTTTTTTTTTTTTTTTGGGGGGGGTGGGGGGGTTTTGTCTCCGGGCTGGTAACCCTTTTCCCCTGGGGCAATGCCCCCCAGGGCCCCCCCCCTTCCCCAAGCACTGCTGCCGCTCCCCGCAGCCCCGCCGAACCCCGCACAACCCCCAGCGCAAACGCGTCAATCGCGTTTACCGGCGTTCACTGAACGCACGTTCAGTGCGTTCAAAAGCCAAACGCGGAACGCGCGGTAACACAGGACGACGCGACGTGACCCGTCTTGTACGAGGCATCGACTGCGCTTCTCTACCCTGGCCAATCCTTGTTGTCACCCAGTGTTCTATCATCATTGTCCTCCGGGGGGCCAGTGCCCAGCCATTCCAGCTTTTTTGCGACCATCGGCGACGGAAGAGTGGCGTCATGGTTGAACATGATCCTAAAGTCAGCCAGTGCGGGATGTACAGAGGCGGGTCCGCCAACGTCATGGCGGGTCTCCCTATCCTCTCCGTCACGACGGTGGCTGCCTGAAGGAGATGGCGACGAGCACTGAAACACCGATGCTTGGCCGCCACCAATGTGGGCTTCGCGTCGAGCTGCATGAACAACGATACATCGAAATGGGAACACAGATCCTCCCCGCTCATCCTCATCAGCCACATTGACATCGCGAGTAGAAGCCTCACAGCGTCGATGATGTCCTTAGCATCGCGTAGGAGATGCGCCCCCCGTTGACCCCCTCCGCCAGACTGACGGCACTAGTGGAGGCGCTCACCAGGCGTTGCATGGTCACCTCTTGGTAGCATGCCAACTAGTCGTCCTCGTGTCTATCCTCGATGTGCTTGTCGACGAACCAAACAGGGAGCTTCATGTCCATCTCCAGTGTGATGTGGCAGATAGTGGGGCTCACACATGTGCACCAGTCCTCTCCAAGCCACATGACGCAGGCCATGGTTGCAGACATGCACCAGTAGTCTCCAAGCCACATGCACCAGTCCTCTCCAAGCCACATGCACCATTCCTCTCCAAGCCACATGCACCAGTCCTCTCCAAGCCACATGCACCAGTC